CTCTTTGTTTTAAATAATTTTCAAGTTGCTTGATTTAAAATATTTTCCAAGACCATATATACAATTATAAAACATTTATTATTATTATTATTTTTTAACTCTTTCATTCTTGATGATTTTTTCTACTTTAACAGGCTTTCTAAGTGACCTTTTAACGAGTTTTGGGCCAATGGATCCCAACCCAATTGGGCTTAGGTCATTAAGTATGAGAATACTCCTTGGGCTTAATTACTCGGTCAGCTTAGGCTTTATAAGATAGAATCACCTTGAATTCAAGAGTTTTTTTTTCTTTTCTTTTTGGTGCCCATTTTTCGCACTCTTCTTTTGCAATTTTTTTTTTGGTATATGTATATATATTTTGAAAATATGTAAATCAAGATACTTTGAAAAATTTATTTTCAACTCTAAGTTAAGCATGCAAAAATTTCATTATTTTAAATAAAAGTCCAAGTTAAGGCTTAAATAAAGTATACTACTTTGAAAATCATTTCTTAAGAAATTTATTTAGAGTTATCATAAAAGGTGAACTTAAGTAAATAACCAACTAGGGATTAGAAAATTTCAAATTTATCAAATAAATTAATTATTACATAACTCTATCAATTTGGCAAGTGACGATATTTTTATAATTTTTTTTAAAGAAAAAGGGAAAAAATGTAACTAAAAATGTAAAATAAAGAGAAAAAAATAACTACTTCCCACCCCCACACCTAAATTTTGCATTGTCCTCAATGCAAACTCTATGATGCATAAAGTAAAGTAGATAAGAAGTAAAGCACTTACATTTGGTCGGCTGATAAAAATCTGTAATTACCTTTGGTCTGAGGAGGATGAAAACAAAAATTTATTCTTTATTCTTTTTTTTCTTTTTTTTTCTTTTTTTTTCTTTTTTTTTCTTCTTCTTTTTTTCCCCTTTTTTTTTGAAAACTGAACAAGAAACTCTCACATGAGAGAAGAATAAATTCTTTTTATTATTCTGAAATAAACAAAATAAACAATGTAGAATAAAATATTCAACATGAAGAGTTCCTGTTCTACATTGACTCCTACCTTACTGTTGAAACTTCTTCCCCGGATTTTAAACAAATTCAGAATGATATAATTAATAATGTGAATTTCCAAGCATTTCGGGGTGTTTAGTAATTCATGCAATAAGGTAAGGTAGGTATTATTGGTGTCATGCATTTTGTATTTCTTAATGAACTTAGACTCTTGTACTGTGAAGTTTTGTTTTCCAACAATCAATTCTTCTGTGAAGTTTTGAAAATTTGGTTGTTGATTATTCTTCAAGAATCTAAGTTCATCAAGAAAGAGTTCTTCAAAATTTAATTCAAGACAACAAATGTTTAACACAGTTTTATTATTCTCAAGGACCTGATCTGCTTCTTCTAAAAACTCTAACTCTTCATCAAAAATTTCCTCAAAACTTAAATCACACTCTTCTTCTTCTTCTTCTGATCTTTCCTGAATGTAGTTTATTTCTAGAGGCTGATTATTTGGTTGGTCCCCTGGATTAAAAATGTTGAGATCAGCAGTCAAATTCCCAAAGGACAGCTTCATTTGACCAGTTCTACAGTTGATGAGAGCATTAGAAGTGGCTAAGAACGGTCGTCCTAAGATGACAGGTGTCTGTCCTTTGGGATTGGAAACAGGCTGTGTTTCCAAGACTACAAAATCTACTGGAAAAATAAAATCTCCAACCTTAATCAGAACATCCTCTAACTCACCCATAGGGACCTTGACAGATCTATCAGCCAACTGTAAGGTGCATTTGGTTGGGTTCAGTACACCTAGACCCAATTGCTGATAGACTGAATATGGAAGCAAATTGACACTGGCCCCTAAGTCTAAAAGCGCCTTATCAATGTGAGTATTACCAATGATACATGAAATGATGGGGGAACCTGGATCTTTACGTTTCAAAGGTATGGGATTTGATAGCATTTCACTGATATTGGCGGCTAAAAAGACTTTCTTTGGAACATTTATTCTCCTCTTCTTAGTGCACAATTCTTTTAAAAATTTAGCATAAGATGGAATTTGTTCAATTACATCTAAGAGAGGAATATTGACCTTAACCTGCTTGAATGTTTCTAGGATCTTCTCCTCCTGAGGAGAGTGTTTCCTAGACCTGAGTCTATCTGGAAAGGGAGCAACCGGTCTAAATCTATCAAAAGCAGGCTCAGGTTCGGGTTCAGGTTCTTGGTCATCTGAGGGGAGTGATTGTTGAATAGATTCATCAGAAGGAGAAGGAGAAGGAATTTGTACAGGATCAAGAGTTTGACTTGGAGGAGTTCTCACTTGATTATCGACCTGTCTACCTGACCGAAGTGAATGGATTGCATTCACTTGAGCTTCATAGGATGAACTGCATCCTGTGTTATTAGGGTTAACCACGGGTTGACTTAGAAATTTTCCTTTTTCTCTTTCACTCACGGCACTAGCTAGTTGACTAAGTTGGGATTCTAATCTAGCTATAGCTTGAGTGTTGGAGTTGAGCATTTGTCCGATTGATTGCATGAAGGAATTCAGCGTGCTAGGCGTTTGAGTCAACATATTCATGGTTTGAGTAGAGGCCTTAATTATGGTTTCTAAACCCCTTTCCAAGATATTGAGACGTTTATCCTGATCTGGATTGTGAGGAGTCTGAATTACAGCTTGATGAAGAGGAGACTGATTTTGATACGGCAGATTGGGTTGTTGAAATTGTGAATGAGAATTGATTGGAACCGTGTTTCCCCTAGGAAAATGTTGGGTCGAAGCGGGAGTGAAGTTTTGAGTTCCTGGAGAATTTCCTTGATTCCATGCAAAGTTGGGATGATTTCTCCAACCTGGATTATAGGTTGGAGAAAATGGATCATTTCTAGGGTGTTGGAATGCAGCGTTCATCTGTTCTATTGCGTTGTTATTTCCTAGGAGAGGGCATTCCTCTGAAACGTGGGTAGGAGACTGACAATTGTGACATCCTGGGAAAGAAACATGATTGAGTTGAGCTGGAGCTCGTTCCTTAATTTCTAAGGCTTCTAACCTCCGCAGAATTGTCGCCATCTTCGCTTCAGAAGCAATGTTTGACTCTAAGGAAAGACCACTAGACTTAGAATGGGGAACTGATGAAACCCTGTCATCGCATTGTTCCCATTGCATTGTTTTTTCAGAAAGACTCTCCAAAAACTCTCAAGCTTCATCAGCATTTTTCCTCATAAAATCCCCGTGACACATTGATTCTAAGAAAGTTTTTACAGAATAATCTAATCCCTCATAAATTATTTGGCACAATCTCCATTTCTCTAAACCGTGATGAGGACATTGGATGAGAAAATCTTTAAATCGGTCAAAATACTTCCAAAAAGGTTCTCCCGGGATAATTTTAAAGTTTTGAATGCTGTTCCTAAGCTTTACCGTTTTATGAATAGGAAAATTTTTTTTAAGAAAAACGGTGACAAATTCATCCCATGTTGAGATAGAATTTGTTGGTAAGCTGTACATCTATTTTTTAGCTTTATCCTTAAGAGCAAATGGAATAAATCTAAGCTTAACCGCATCTTCATTTAATTCTCTTATTTTAATCATAATACACACTTCCTCAAATTCCGAAATAAAAATATATGCGTCTTCTGTTTCATTACCAAGGAATTTGGGAAGCATGTTTATGTATTGCGGTCTAAGCTCAAAACTTATTCTATTTGTTTCGGGGAGCCTAATGCATGAGGGGATTGCATTCCTAATGGGATAGCACATATCATGAAGAATGGGTGGATTAGGATGCTCTATTTCTATGATTGGTTCAAAGCGAATTAATCGATGTGTATTATCCCTAATCCACTGTTGCATACACCAAAATATTTCTTTTTATTTTTTTTATTTTTTTCTTAAAGAAAAGAAAGAAAAATTAGTTTTTTTTTGAGAAGATAAAGAAAAAGAAAAAACCTGTAGGCTGTCTAAAAATCACAATGGATAGCTGAGTCTCCATCGAACACTGATGATGGAAGTTACA